AAAGAAGTTCACAGGTGTTGGAAGAAGTGTGTCCAGAATTGAGGCTGAATACGATTTTCAGTGTTGGGAAGTGTTAAATCCCAGGTGAAGGGCATACTTCATTTTTCTCGCGCCATGCATACTGCCCAACCGAGAGACATCAGTATACACCATAATGTTTAGGTATTTCTGTCACTCGACTGTGTAGACCCGAGGTGAAAAAACAAACAAACTGAAGCGAAGCAAAAAGATGTTCATCGCCGTTTTTGTGGAGTAGGATTTTCCATATCGTTCTCATTTTAAACCGAATCAACCCGAGTATTACCGCTTATGGTGGTACCATACTGGTTTTCAAACAGCTGGTGAATAAATATTTTATTATATACAATGTCGCTTTTGGTGGCACGGTTCTCGCACAAACATTGTTTAAATTTATCGCTCTAATCTGAGAAATGTACCGCTAAAGAGTATGTCCACAACACTTATCCTAGCGTCGGAGATTACAGATGCACTACGACAGAATAAGTCCGCGGATCCGGAATATATGAGGCGATGGATGAGAGACTACCTGATACGCATACCTGATGAGGACACACACGGCGAATCCGGTCACATGCTTCTAAAGAAGTTACGTGCAGTCATACACACCTTAGTTATCCGAATCCTCATGTTTGACCCCGCCACTCAAGCAACTCGAGGTTGTTGATTTAAGCTCTGATTCTTCCCCACAGTCACTACTCGTATACAGGGGAGAGTCAACACCCGCTTCCATGTGCAAATTCGAGTTTCATTTATTTGCTGTTCGTCATAGAGCTTTATGCAACAAGGTAATATTTAACTTTATCAAGTTTATTCTTCTCGTTGATTACTGTTTATATCAAATAAATTTGATGTGCGAATAATAAGTTTTTTTCTGTTCCTCGCGCACATATACTGATTGCATGAGAAATCCAGATCGGCCGGTACTGATGAAGGTAAGTGTATTTTCCCACTGGATCGTTGAATCTAGTGCATAAATTAGGTTTTGCTCGATGATGAATAGCGAAGATTGCAGCAATTCTTTTCCTCGCCCACTTGCTTCCCACATAGTGATAGAGCCAGCGACAGTATCAATCACCTGAAAATTTCTATTCCCTGTCAAACTGAACTAAGAGTATTTCTTCTTGCATCGATGAGGTAACGGTTACAATACATCATTTGAGTGATTATTTTCTTCACCGAAATATTTTCACCGCTTTGCGTATTCCGCTTGTTAGATACCTTTGAATGTCCGATAGATTTGAATTGTTCGACCAGACGTGCGCTACGTTTCATTCATTACGTCCAATGCAATGCACCCATTGAGCAGAGAAGAGCCTGAGCAGAGAGTCATCCACCATGTGGATCCACGCGAGGTCGGTACAGATCACAATTTGTGCCAAACGTTAAATGTGTATCACTGTATTTCACGGGGTGGCAGAAGGACAAACTTTTGACTGTTTATAGATAAAAAAACAGGATATTTGAATTAAAGGACCAAATCCTGAGCGTTACTTCCCACGTACTTGATAAACGCATCAATACAGATATCGGGTTATGCCTGTCGAAAATTTTACTATATGGGAATCATAGCTGCTTTGCGTGTTCTTTGTAACGGGCATCCTATGAAATTTTACGGCCCATGTTAGATGTTGCCAAATACTTTGGCAATGTGCAGAACTGTTATTGGTGTACATCTGAGTGGTGGCATAACCTCCCGAAAGTGCATGAAAATAGGCAACTTTTCAAATTCATATTGTGTTATACCTCGCAATTAAACGTTGTCAGTTGTCCATGAACAGGAGCGTTATGCAAAGCAAAGGCACTTCTGTTATGAGTTTCATTTGCCAAGTAACGGTATGACTTGCCTTGGATAATGGTTCATGGAGAACACGGAAATGTCTTCAAAAATCAAATAGAGAAACATTTATTGGATCTCTGTGACATCCTCCTGGCTTTTTACGGGTAAATATAGACGTACCCGGCTTTCTTTCTAAACTAAGCCACATACTACGTGGGCACAACAATGAAAACATCCTTCGTCATATTTGATTTGAGAATTTCAAACAAAAGACATCTCCAGTTTTAAACGTCTTCATGCATATCCTACACAAACCATGGACAAAATGAGCGATACCGAGGATTCACAGGTTGTAATCTCATGCCTCCCACCACGTTTTTCTTTGATCTTCCACACAAAGGTATCATGTAGCAAACTGTCGTCGATTGGAACACATTGTGTCTTGCAGCTCGCAATTGCAAAGTTCCAATCGAAGATCCCGGGTTTCATGTGAATTCACTCCGGTTTTGATTTAACGGGTTTATCCTTTATTTGTTTCACTCTGCCGTCAGTTTCCCTCAACCCAACATTTAGTATCATCCTCCCCTAAGAGGATTTCACCCCGGAACTGCTCTGTTTATTCTCATTCCCAAAAATACTAGATTGTTCAGCACTGTGTTCTGTTCAAACATCCAAGGGGGCCATGTCCAGTGTGAAATTAAGTTCTCTCCAGCTTTGCATTCCAATACGGCTCGTCTAATTTCAAATGTGAAGTGATATGTATACCCGAACGGAACCGTAATTCCCGTGGAAATCAGCACATTCGAAGGTGTTCTGTACTGATACGATTAGAGCTTTCTCAGAAACCGCATATGGCAACCTACATTACCGCAGCTCAGGGTTTAACGGCAGGTACGTAAACTTTCATTTTG